CCTTGCCCACTCCATCATGAGAGCGATAGATAGGGTAAGAGCACGTTGAACTTCAGAACAGTTATAACGGTTATAAACACCGTAGACCTTGATATCGTCTGCGAACATTTGCACTTTAATAGCGAGGTGTGTCTTCAACCTGGCAGGCAAGTCATGTGTATATGCTAAAAAGAGAAGAGGGGACAACACACGCCACTTGGGCTTGGCGCCACCCGGCGTATCATCAAACCCCTCACGGCAAAGTATATCCGATTTCAAATCTGAGGAAAGCGTGATAGCGCTCAATTGAATTATATCCTTTGCGATACAGCACACGCCCCCTCCCCTGTGGGCTTTGCGATCACAGCGGAAAACTCTATAGGGAAAACCGGAGAGAATTTCAGAGTCTAAAACCTTTGGCGAAAACCAGGTCTCAGTAATAAACAACATGTCGGGCTCATAACAATTCAAAAAAAGGTGAAGATGGTGCAACTTGTTCATCAAACTTCGGGAGTTAAAGAGAAAACATCTCACGCCGGTTGGGTCCAGGAAGGGAGCTGAGGATTTCCCGAAGGCCGAGGCTTTGGGAGGTCCTCGATACGTCTCAACTCCCCCCTGTATACAACCCATATCCGCTTGCCACTGTTTTCATTTCGCTCTCTGCATTCGTGCCTTAGTTCATTGAATTGTTTTCGCTCAGCGGCGGTCATGCTTTTTCTAACATGCACGCCCGAAAAACTAGTGTTCTTCAATATGTGAGAGTTAAACAGGGCCATGGCCCAATGCCTCCTCGAGAGCAATACTAGCTTTACTAGTCGCGGAGCAGCGCTACTAATTTTTCACATCCGAAAGACCTCGATTGGTCTGCACTCAACGTTGAGAATATCCAAAATTTCACCTACTTTACCTTCTAACTCAAGCTGCTTAAAGGATGGCGTCATATCATTACACGACTCAGGATTAGTAGCTGGGTGCAGTAATAGAACAAGACTCGAGTTGAATTTTCCAGTAAAGACTACAGAAAATAACACTCATACGAACAGTGCAAGGAATAGCGAGGGCATACATTAGCTGATCACCGGCTCCCGGCTCAAATGTAGGTGTGTTAGGAGTCACTCATCTCTAAAAAAAGGATCGCTGAGGTCAAAGTTACGTGGTGCCCGAGGGTTGTCGGCCCTTCATTTGATTATTTGAAAAACTTTGCTTCATCGTCACTGTTCTGACATGGAAAATAGTCAACTTAACGTTCGCGCATTTCGTTCGCAAGATTCTCTTGGCGTGATCGTCCCTTGTCTCTCTCTGAGACTAACGCATACGGCCCAAAGTATCCGTGCTTTGAAACTTCACTAGTTGCACAGCAGAAGCGTCTCGCGCAGTTGCTGCTCAGTCTTTTGTAGCTTCTTTACTGATGCTAGCATTTGAAAATAACTTTTCTAGTTGGGTCACGGCGATAACTACGACATGGTCAGGCTTACAATATGCCAGTGGCGAGGCTATGAAAAAAGTCTAACCACGTAGTCGCGTTTACCTTCCACTCCTTGTGATATGTGATTGTTTCACCGTTTTTGTTGAAAATATTTATATGGACAGCCACGTTGCACACTTTGACTTATCTCTGTAGCTTCCCTAGGTTTTTTAAATGTTTCTGTTATTTTAAGCTAAGAAGAAATGTTGTGTACTTTTGTATCCGGTCTGGAGAAATCGCTTCTTTATTTTGCTCTTGCTTCTTGACTAAATATCGTTTTTGTACATAGTAAGTTTGTGCAGTCACCGTTGTACTTGGTTCCAGTTTCTGTTTATAGATTTCGGCAAATATATGAAGCCAATTTCGAAAAGATATCAATTTTGTTTACATATCGTTCGATCGCTAAAAATTTGGCACAGAGTCCCAGAAGAAAGCTACCCATGAACAGGACAATGCAAATAAGCTCACAGTGCGCTGTCGTATTGCCTACTACAACGAAGTTAGATTCTGTTGCGATTGATCTTAGAAATAATTTTTCGTTGAGTTATTCCATTTACTGGCAGCAGCTGTTTGATAGTTGAACACCATGATTATGCAATGAAAACCTCCTACGGTGATTACCAATATTGTGGACTGATGATAACGGCAGTGCTAGTGATAGAAGTCGGTGCTCATGACGTTTCTTGTCATTCCCACGCTACGGACGGCGAACGAAGCTTTGTTGCAATTGATACAACTTGGAGTAGCAAGTCTCCACTGGTGTATGAAAACAGGGACAGGTCCAGCGGCTCCTGCCGCCCACCAATTCTTCATGATCCTATCACACTCCAGTGTCAAGGCGCTACTACTAATGCAGACAGCGTAACGTTGCAGTCTCTCGGGCTCCTCAGTTACCATTAATAGCTGTCACGGTGTCGTCTCTATCGTGAACTATGCCTCTAATCCTACTTTATATAATTCGCTAATCTGTGTGTTTGTGTGCCAGTGTGTGTGTCAGTGTGTGTGTCCGACCGGAAATTCATAACTCTTGTCC